CCTGATAATATTCTTGTAAATGATGATTATGTTGCTAAAATTGGTGATATGGGCCTTGCTCGAGTTATTGATCCTAATGGTCAACAAACTCAATTAGGATGTTTACCATTTATGCCACCAGAATTTTTTCATGAACAATCCGAAGGACATATTAAATTTGACGAGAAATTAGATATTTATACATATGGTTTAACATTAAATCAGTTATTTACAGAAACAATGCATGATTTTCATTTAAATCGTTCCACATCACGTATAGTAATCACGAAACCAAGTCCAGTTTTTTATGATGAAATTATTGTGAAATGTTTAGAAACGGATAGTAAACAGAGACCAACAGCAATTGAAATTGAAAAAACACTTGAATTATATGAAGAAGCATTTAGTGAAACAAGATTTAGTGATAGTTATACTCGACTGAGTATAAAAAAAAAAGATAAAGTTTTTCTTGAATTTTATCGAAAAAATAAGCATCATATTCAACGATTTGTTACAGAATACTTTCCTCAACAATTTATTAAATAAATTCTAGTTAAATTTTTACATAAACAAGAACAACTACACCCACACCCAACATTTTGTGACGAATACAATGAAGACGATTGCCGTTTCAATTAGAATTATTTAGCTTCTTTTTTATTTAATATAAATGATTACTACAAAAAAAAATTAAATCTATTTAAATAACATATTCTACTATCGTGTTTACTCTGAGCTTTTTCTAAAAGAGAGTTCAAAAATTTATTAGGATTTATCAATTATATTAATATTTCTGTGTACTGGTATTCACATTCTCATTTAAAAATATGCGTACATCCCTGTTGAGTCCGAAATGTTTTTGTCAAAAATTTAAAATGTTTTTAAATAGCGTCGAGATTTAGAAATCGGGTTGAAATTCAAAGCTGCGTAAATGTTTACTATAAATTCGTGGCAATAGTACTTTTAAATTTGGTAAAATCATATTCCACCATGAGGATATTATATACTCATATTGACACTTAAAACGATAAAGATAATTTAATCATTTTGGTTTATCAACCAATTTAAAATTCGTGAACTAGTCAGATGCTTATACAATATACTAGCATTTATTTATCTAATATTCGTTTATAAATCGTTCATATATTTATAAACTACAAATACATTTATAAAAAAGCCCGATTTGTAAATACCAAGGAAAACAACCAAAGAATAGTTTTACTATTACTGGGAATATTGTTGATGAGTTATTTATAAAGAAATTCTTCGAGATATATTTGAGAAGAATGATATTGTTCGAGAAAAAAAAGTTTAATTGTAATCAGTGACATATATGAGTCATAGGTAAAAATAATAAAACATGTTTTACACCTACGTCAATTGGTTACGTATGTGCATGTAAATTATGACTTGATTGAAATCATTTGATGTACTTTATGATATCATCTTGTCACAAAACTGCCTATAAACAATTAAAAAAAAGGGTTTTTTGTTTTCGTTCTCCTGTTTTTTTTTCTATTTATTTCCGTTTATTTCAGCTCTCAGTCTAGTTGTTATTCATATCTTTACTTACTGTATCAAATCACATGATGCAAGACATACGAAGCGCAGTGATCGAGAAACTTGGTAAAAAAAATATGACGCTAAATTTTACTTCAATTCATTTTTTTT